TGTGTGTATATATATATATATATATATATATATACACTTTTTATTCATTTTTGAAAGATGGACCATCAAAATTAGCTGCTTTATAGGATTACAGTATTTAAAATCTTTTCTTTTTTGTTTTAAAATTTTACTGATTGCGTCAAATGAGCTGAGAGGAAAATCCCGTTAATGAGGAAGATTTACTCACTTTATTCTGACTGAACCAGGAGGCGATTATAATTTGCGTTTGATAATCTCACCCACTTGTAACTCTAATGTACAGCCCACCATTTTTTAAAAATTAAAACCGTTATGAATGCAACAAAAACTTCAGCTGGACTTTTTATTTATGGACTCATAGATTATTTATTTGATATTTTTTACTGAGAGCGATGTAAAAACCAGCTCATTATCTTGCATTTCTGGCCAAAATCACGCGCAAAATGTGCGTTAAGCAGCGCTCTTTTGACACTTTTGTTTATTAATTAAAATTTTACGCATTTCCGCGTCTTTTCCTGGTTATTTAAAAAAAACGCACGACTTTAACCCAAACAATAACAGCTTTGCCATTTTTTCCCCTTTAAAGGTGATGCTGACTTTCAGTGTGTTTGGACGCGCTGTTGCCCCAGCTGTATTCCAATTATCACCATTATCATTAGGAACACCTCCTCACTCACGCTCCTATCTCTCAAAGAAAAGAAAGAAAAAAAAAAAAACAGAAAAGCCCCCTTCGTGGCGCGTATCAGGCCCACACGCGTCCTTAAACTGATGTAATGACGGTGAAAGGGAGCAATTTCCATTTTTACCCACATCATGGTGGCTGTGCTCGGAGGTCCCCGGTGGAAGGCAATTTATCATGTGCMCCCCCCCCCCACCACCCCCCGGCCCTGTCACTGGAGGAACAGGCAGGCACATGTGTGCATGAATTACCGCGAGCTCTCCCACCTCCCCAGCCCTCCCCCTCGCGCTGATTTGACACCGAGGAGAGACAACATGGGGGGATTAGAGCATGCAGGAGTGCTAAAGTACATATTCACTTTGTCTATCAAGGCCTAAAAGTGCTTAGGTGTTCACTGAGCTCCACTAGAACAAAAAAAAGGGGGAACTTCAGGTGTAATATGTTATTTTAATGAGGTGTATTTTCGGCCCTGTGTGCAAGTGCTTGGAAATGTTTGACTAAATTCAGAGTCTGTTTAAACACAAGAGTTACTGAACCTAAATTTTTGATGGTGGCACCTAAACTGACCCAATGTTAGTTTATTTATTGAACTATTTGCTGTAGGACATTAGGAGGAAAAAAGGTCACGACCTGACAAAGTGCCTGCAGCTGTACTCCGGAGGCCGTGAGCGACACCAGGAAAATCTTCATCTACATGTTTTCTCGAGATGAAACCGCTCCTCTGTCTCCCAGTTGTGCTTTTGCATGCAGCTGTCTAAACTTTGGATAAAACAGCCACGAGAGTATTTCAATAATGTAAACCGTGTAACCTAAAAATAATAATGACAATGATAATAAAAGCACATTTCTTATTTTCTTCTAACGTTTATTTTCATTTTATTTTTTCGGAGATCTGAAGCAGCCATTTTACATTCCTTGGATGTGCCTCCTCAGAGAGAGAGAATGGTGCATGCACAAAACCCTGGCAGGACATCTGGCAACAGGGGGAGCCCTGGACGTGACTCACACAAACACACACACACACACACACCTAACCCTCAGTTGTGCTGAATTACCACCACTAAAGCTGTCATTAGTGGGTGTGTGGTACAATAAAAAAGACACCGTGTCGTCTGCAGTGGCAAATCTATAGTTTGAGGGAACAGCTGTGTCAATAAGAAGAAACTGTTTAACTCTTTGTCAAACA